ATCCCTTAGGTCAACCACTATGTTACCATAGCAAGATCCAGAATTTTTTTTTCATGTATTAAATGTCCACCTTTGAATTTAATGCTAAAGATTGTAAGATTGAATTTGGTGAAATTTTTCAATCTTTAGCCGAAATTTGTATAGAAAAGGCAGCCAATTGACTGTTTGTATTGAAAATCAATTAATGAGATAGTTGGAAAATTTTCAGTATAAATTGGGGTGTAGCCGAAGAGAAATATGTACAATTGTAGAGAGAGAGAGAGAGAGAGAGAGAGAGAGAGCATCAGTAAGTTATCTGCTACACATTGTAGATAGAATAATTAGTGAGTAGAGAGATACATAAAATTATAGAGAGAAATATATTATTTTCCCCCGAGTGTTTCATACTTAATTTCTTCCATTATAAGAGATTAATTATTGTTATCTCTTTGTAATTAGATAGAAGGTTATTGTAATTGTTTTACTAGAATGGAATCCTTATATACTTGCCCATGGACATTGCCTAAATTGGATGAACCAAGTAAATATTTATGTCGATTTTTAGCTGCATTTTTTTCAATTCCACTTTAGTTGTTAGCCAACCTTGGCCCATATTTTTCATAATAGAATTGGTAATATATACCTAGCACTAGCCGATAGAGTATTATCAAGGGTGGCGGAAAAGAAGACGATAAAAAAATATGGGATACATTGACAAAGTTGTCTGAGGCTAAATCGTTGTAAAACAAAATCTTCTTGAAGTGAAGGTTTTACACCCTTCAGATGGTGGAGTCAACAATGGTGATTGATCCCATCAACACCCTCAAAACTTCATTTTCACAACTCATATAAATGGGGCATAATATAGAGGTAAACGTTCTGAGATTTTACTGCAAAGTCTACTAGATTTGTATAATCAACTCATCATCGACTTAACCAACAACATAGAAAGTCTAGAATTGTAATTGTGGTTCTTGAAGAAGAAAGTCAGCGCAAGAACAAGGAAGATAGATTGACAAATTCACAGTATGCAACAGCTTGACGATGATAAAAGGGAGATCAATGGAATGTGGCCTCAATAGGAGACATGATCAGAGTAGATCAAAATCCAGAAGTAAGAAAAATGCCAAGTGTCATTATTGTGACAAAAAAAAGCACTTAAAAGGGAAATGTTGGAGTTTCAAGAAGAATGAAGAAACTAAAGGAAAAGGTCTCAAGTCGTCAAAAGCCTAGAGTTGCGTAGAAAACATCTCAGGTGATAGTGAAATTTTGTACAGTAAGACAACAATAGTTGTTGAAAGAAGAAAGCAATTTTTTGATGTTTAGTTTATGAAATCAGGAGCTATATGGCACATGACACCAAATAGAGAATTGTTCCATCAATGTGAACATATCCCAGCCTCTATGATAAGAATGTAAAATGCATTGTTTTTACCTCTTTATTTAATATGCTCGTATGATTATTTTTTTCCAAAATGTACTTAGTAATCTCATATTTTGGTTTGGGTGGCAATTTGATTAATATAGCGTAATTTGGAAGAAATAAGTGAGAAAAGACCAACATGAAAGAAAGCGAAAGTTCGGGGACTGAAATGCAAATACTCAAAAGTCAGGTCAAACCTCACAATGAGTTTTTCAGAGTGTTAGAGGTCAATTGGTTGAATAAAGAAGTCAAATGGATGAATTACAATCAAAGAATTATCAAATATCAACTTTCAGGCGAAAAAGTTATGCACCGGTTTTCAGCCTCATATTAAGATCCATTTTTGACATGGAAAACGATCGAATTGGAAGCTTATTTCTGAGGTAAAGTTGTATCTCTTTGAGTTATCTTTCCAACGCATCTTGAATCACTTCAATCAGACGTTGAAAGTGAAAGATATGACCAAAATACTGAAACCTATCCGGCAGAAAGATTTTATACTATACGTACGCACAAGCCTGCAGGCCTTGCGTACGCACAAGACCATTTTTGAACGCACAAGACCATTTTTGACTTCCTGAGGCCAAATTCAGTGTACCGTGCCTACGCACCAATATAACCATGCATATGCATGGTTTATCCCAAGACGCGATTTTTAGTTTCCTAATCCGATTCAACTACATATGGAAACCAATCTCTTCACGCCATATAAACCCTAAACTCGACCCAGAATGTACAGAATGCCTCCCAACCTATTTTCACTCTATTTTTCTCTTAGATTCTTGAATTGTAATTAAAATTTTAAATTCGTCGAAGGAAATTGAAGCCTCAGAACCACATATTATGATATCTAAATAGTTTTTTTTTAATTCTTATTTTGCGTATTGAATATTCTTCTGCACTTATTTTCACGATTATTATGTTTAATTGCTAGGAGGCCTACTAGTTTGTTATTCGTTACAATCTACCGCTAAGTTAAATATCAAATCCGTAATTGTTCGATTCTTTTAACTTGTGAAGCACTAGGATTTGATGATTTTCTGCGATAGAGGTTATATTAGTTTTTTATTTATTGCAATCTATAGCTAAGTTAAATCTCAAATCCGTAATTGTTTGAATCGTTTAACTTGTAAAACACTAGGATTTGATAATTTTCTGCGATAGATGTTATTGAATCTTAAGAAGAATGTTTGAATAAATTGAATGAAACCGCTGGTGATTGTGTTATCTAGTTCATCGATTTCTCTATTGTGTAAATCTGTTATTAAATTGAATTTTGAGCGCTGGTCTGTGGTTATTTAATAATTAGGGTTAATTAGAATGCTAGTTGCTAACTAACTAAAATTAAGGAGAGATAGGAAAATAATTCTAACGGTGAATATTCATTAAGGAGAGATAGGAAAATAATTCTAACGGTGAATATTCAAAATATAAATTGAATTATCCTTGCATCTATGATTAATTGTGGATTTTCGACGGTGGATGTGGACTTAGACCAAGTTAGTCTTTTGATTGTTTTCGTTAATTTAATTTACATCGCTATTAATTATAAGATTGATTTCATTACAAACAAAACCCCTAATCATTGTACAAAGTATAAAATATTGAATTACACACTTTTCGTGGGATCGACCCTTACTTCCACTACTACATTATTTTTAGAGGTTAAGGTATTAATTTTGGGTGCCTGCGACAGCACATGCCAATCTGTATTATCATTCCTTGAAGATTACTGCTATTAGTACTATCAAATTAAAAACGTATGATGATATAGTTTGCACCATCAAAGAGGTACGGCATGTAAAATGCCTAAAGAAAAATCTATTGTCCTTAGGACAATTAGATAGTATTGGGTGCAAAACCCATGTACAAAATATGATCATAAAACTCAGGAGAAGAGTATATGAAGGATATAAAGGTTACAACGAAAGTGACTCTAAGTGGGAGACAAATTGGCCAAAGTCAATTTTATTGACTTTGGGAACAAAAATTTTTCTTTATGCATTAAACGTACTCCTTTGAATTTAATGCTATCGATTGAAAGATTGAATTTGGTGAAATTGTTCAATTTTTAGATGAAATTTTTACAGAAAAGGCAGCTGACCTTTTACTTTTTGTGTTGAAAATGTGGTGTGCAATTAATGATGTAGGTTGGAAATTTTCATTATAAATTGGGGATGCAGCCAAAGAGAAATGCGTACAGTTATAGAGAGGAAGAAAAACAGTAAGCTATCTGCTACACATAGTAGAGAGAATAATTAGTAGGTACAAAGATATGTTAAAATTATAGAAAGAAGTATATTATTTTCTCGTGTTTTCTACTTAATTTCTCTTATTACATGAAACATTAATTATTGTTATCTTATTGTAGTCAGAGAGAAGGTTATTGTAATTCTTCTACTATAGTGAAATTTTCATATTCTTACCCGTGGACTTAGCCTAAATTGGGTGAACCACATAAATATTTGTATACATTTTTAGCTGTATTTTCCTCAATTCCACTTTAATTACTAGTCAACCTTGATCCATATTTTTTCCTAACATATTCAAAATATTTTGTAAATGGTAAGTTATTGGTGAATGAAAATTGTACCCCTACAGCTCTAAATATTATTACCATATATATCTCTATTCATTCCCTATAAATATAGGGTTTTGGTTCTCATTATAATATACACAAGTCTATTGACTTTTATTCTCTCTTATCTTTTTTCTCTCTTTTTGTAACACGTTATCAGTACGAAAACTTAATTTTTCAAAAGTTAGAGAAGGTAGTAATTTTTTTAAGTACAATCATCTATCACGAGTATCAAAATTAATTTGGTAACACGCCAATTTTTCTGCCTTATGTTTGCAACCATTTGTCTGTTCACAATTAACCTCGTTGAACATAATTACCGAACGTATTCTTTTTGCATATATGTGTTGCCAAGATTTCTTTGAGTGTTATAAACTTGGATCTATTATAATAGGCCTAGCTCTTTGATGTTTACAAAAACATAGCATGAGAACATGAGAACAAACCAACAAGTGTCTTCATAATGATTGTGTCTGTATGTGTGCCTGCATAATTCATTCTTTTATGTAATCTTTTTTTTATTTTTTACATTTGAAGACTATCTGTTGCATAATGAAGGTATATATACGTTTTATTCAACTCCGCGCATATGTATATTTTTTAATA